GGGATAGAATACAGAAAATTAAAATTTAGAATTTGTTCAGTCTAAAATTAATTTCAAGACTTGAAACAGTTTGAAATATTACGCGAGTAAGAATATAAAACAATATTGAATTATTCAGAAATTAATATTGGACTGTAAGTAGTAGATTAACTTACGTGAGCTAAACTAATTACCTCTAATCAGTATAAATTTAATCTGTTTAGAGGAAATAATTGAGGATAAGATCAGGCACGTAATCTTGCCTTAATCAGATACTTTATATAGTGAAATTTTTAGGGTTCTTGCACTTTTTTTCTCTTATTCTCGCTCATTCTCTCTCTCCTCTCACGTTTTCTCTCACACAAACCATCAATGGCCAAATACTCAAGTTAAGATTCCGACCTCCATTTTTGACACCGCCGGTGTCAATAGAAAGATCTCGACGAGCTGAGTTCAACGACATGCGGCACGACCTCCAACTCCGCCGGAATCAGCCGCAATCGCCGGCGGAAGTTTCGAAATTTCCATTTCTTCCCGTCGTGATATCTCCGCCATCCGACCTCCGATTGAGATGATTTCAGTCCCTATGGACTCAGTGCAGCGAGACGAAGAAAACCCATCCATTTTCACAGCTCGATTCTGGCCGGAGCACCGCCGTCCGTGGTGGTCGGAATCGCCGCCGCCGTCGCCGTCGTTTCTCTCTCTCCAGGCCGTCGTGGATGTCACCGCCCCCACCAATCAACTCAGAAGCCGACGTCCAGTAGATCCCGACCAGCAGCCACCGTTGCCGTCGCAGTTTGGCCGGAAAACGGAGCTACTACCGTCGTCCGTGGAGGGAAGAGGTGGTTCCGACGATCTAACCGTTGGATCGTAGTGAATTTGGTGTCACAACACTCAGAAGGAAACGGGTAAGAAAACCCCTCATCCAATTTTAAGAATTGATGGCCGGAATTGTGAGATTTGAGTCGTCGGATTTTACCGACGTTGCCGGTCCCGATAGGTACTGTTACAGGCCGAATGGTGTGAAATTGACCGCACCAATGGACTCAGAAGGGTCAAGTTATGGGGGGTAGGACCCAAGTCCGCCGCGGAAAAACTCTCCGGGAGTCGCCGCCGCCGTACGCCGCCGCCGCCGCCGCCATATTCCGGCGAGGTGTCGTTTCTCAGGCTATCGACATCCGTTTGATGATCCGTGACCATATCCCGACTCGTTTCGACGTGCTGAACGAAATGGTGACGTCCGTTCAACCAAATTCAATTCTGATAAGAATGGTCTAGTACTGATTGCACGCGGATCGATGTGGTTCAGACTAAACAAGTGAAGATCAGAATCGAGTGTTTAAAGCTACGATGTTCCTCAAGGATCTTTCATAGTGCTTGCAGCTTTTCCCAAAATTAGTTTTGAGAAATACGCAGGAGGACACGACAAGCGAGATACTATCAGAATCGCTTAGCTCGGAATCCAGGCAAGTACAAACCTTGCTTACAGTTTAATTAAGATAGTCATATAAAGCGTATGATTTTCACGAAATACGTTAATTATGAGATTCGTGAATTAGGTTTATGTTTATGTTAAATGTCGTATATAGTTTTCCAATAAAACTTAACGGTTTTCAAATAAGCATGTAAGCGAAAATCGTAAAGAAACGATGCGCTAGACGCTTAATTTTACAACGGTAAATATGGACCTTAACACTATTACGAGCCCGTCAAGTGAGGTAAAGTACAGTTTATTAAAAGTGTATTATGAATGATAATTTAATTAATTATTAAAACTAATTAATTAAATTATCTAAGACTTAGAATATTGTTAAGGAAGTTAATTAATTACTAAGATTAATTAACTAACTTATGTATACTTAGTATATGAATAAAAAGGTTAATTAATTACCAAAATTAGTTAACTAAATTATTAGACTTATTATAAGGATAAGATAATTAATGAATTATCAATTTAGCACAAATTTGTAATGGCAATTAAGGAAAATAAGATTTTGAGGATTTAATAAATTGATCCTTATAGTAAATTATCCTTCAATAAAATCAAGTAAATTAAGTATTGTAAGGGTTAGATTTCCTTCAATAAAATCAAGTAAATTAAGTATTGTAAAGGGTTAGATTTCCTTCATAAAATCAAGTAAATTAAGTAAAGGGTTAGATTTCCTTCATAAGTTGCTAAAATAGAATAGCAAATGACAGATAATTTCACACTCTCAATGGGTGTTCATTTTCAGAAGTAAGCAAGTAAGAGAATAAACTGTTTGGCGAAGAGTGGATTCCAGCTCTGTAAATCAGGTAAGTAGGAATCTCGCCTACAGTATGAATAGATTTTAAAGAGAAAGTTACACATGTTATATATGCATGTTTATGCTTTAAGTATTGTATGCGATGTTATGTCATGCTGCATACACATAAACAGCGCACATGAATTATATGTGTTTGAGTTAATTTAATATTATGTATACTATGCTAGATCATACTGCATACACTTAAGCAGTGCACATGAAGTATATGTATTTGAGTACATTCTATGTTATAGTATGCTTTGCTATGTCATATTGCATACACCTTAATAAGCCAAGAGGAACTTATAAGAATAATTATCAGTTGAGTCCCGTCCCAGCCTCCACAAGGGAGGTAACTCATGCTCCACAAGGGAGAAACAGAAAATAACAATAATGTCCTCCGACTCAAGGGAGGCATTCCAGTTATAATCACGGTGTCGTGGGGGACCTTGCAAACCCTAACGTTCCGATGATTGCGCGCAAGTGGTACGCGAGCACTCGGACCCATCAGTAAGAAATATAAGATAAGATAATAAGACTATGATAAGACATCATAATTAAGCATAATCAACTCATGCATATTTATTCATGTGTACTTACAGTTATTTTGTGAGATATAGTTCCTACTTGCTGAGCGAAAGCTCAATCAGATATGTTCATGCTGTAGGTAAGAAACCTATCAGCAATTCTTGAAGGGCAATGGCAAGCGGCGGACGAATGGTGGAGATGGGAATGGATACCGCTCACGCAGTTATCTTCCGCAGTAAGTTTAAGAAAAATCATGTATATGTAAATATGATTTAAAGGTTTCAAGCATGTATGTTTAAAAAGTATAGGTACATATGTATGTTAAAGAAACCGAGGTTGTAGCTAACAACCCTCGTTTTGAGTATTTAAGTTTTAGAACGTTGCAACAGAGCATGCAACAAATAAA